CTCCTTCTCCTTCTCCTTCTCCTTCTCCTTCTCCTTCTCCTGCATGCTTTTCTGAAAATAAATATGACACTGGAAACATTTGAGTATCTGTTTGTAAGCAACTTCGTAAGCAACAATATACGTAGATCACATCAGTATAGAACAGCCTTTGTGCTTCTGCATTATACTCATTGGTACATCAGTAGGTGTGGTAAGAGACAGTTGATCTTTTATTGTATTGTATGATTGTTTATACTGTATGCCACCAATGGCATGACTTTTGTCTAGGGTAATGCATAGAATATCTTGCACACTGATTTCAGATCTGGCAGAGAAGGCATGCTGCGGGTCCTGTCTGCTATGGACTTACATTTGATAGGTCCTAGGAGGCGGGCCTTCTGTGCCACGGTGCCCACCTTATGGAACATTCTCCCCCCCCCCAAAGTGAGGTTAGCTCCATCCCTGTTGTTGTTCCAGAAGTCCCTCAAGACCTGGCTATGTCAATAGGCTTGGAGCTCCCAGAGGACCAATAACATTCTAAGATGGCTCCATCATTGTGGTTAATATTCACTCTTTCCTGTGCCTTGTGGTTTTTATATTTTAATAATGACTGTTTTATATTTTTAATAATTGCTGTGTTATATATATTTATTGTTTTGCTTAATTATTGTACACCACCCATGGTCACTTGTGAGATGGATGGCCATATAAGTAATCGATTTTGACTGCCTACTATAATCAGTATTGGTGGCTTTCAGCTGAGAGTTTTTGCTGTGTTGGAACTCATTTTAAAGAGTCAATTTTTAATATGCATACTGCAAGTTACTTGCTTTTTGAACTAACAGTGCTTTATTTAATAAGTGTTGCCCAGACTTTAGTTTTGGATACACTTACTGATGATGGCCTGGCAGCTCTTCATGCTGCGGCCATACTTTCCAATCATGCAAAATAAATCTAATATCATTTAATCTAAATAAAATGATAAGGTAATCCACAGGTAGAGTCTTCCTATGTTTAGAACATAATATTTGTTTTGTAACTGTAGTCTATCAACTTTGTTCTGAAAGCTGGCCTTGCATATCTCAAATGGAAAAAAAATTCTAAAAATTGGAAAAAAGTTGGTTTAGATAGAGTATCATGAAAAGTGTGCTTATCCAAAAACAAATATGTTTTTCAGTCTAATAAAAAAAATACAAAAATATAAGTTAACCATAACTCTTTATCAGATAAAACCGATCAGCGTGTATAGGATTGGTGCAAATGTTGTGAACCAGAATGGGACCTTCAACTCTATAATTCATAATAGATTATGATGTAGTAAAATTAGGTATTTATAGAGAAATAGGTCAATTTTGGAGAGAAATAATAATGGGATTGTATTAATTTTTTTGTGTAGAGAAACATGACTACTCTGTTTTGAAATTACCGTGTTTGGAAGTTATTTAATTCTTATTTTATGTGTAAAATAATGACTCACTACAAAGTAGACAGTAAAAGTATAGAAAAAAACATGACAGTTCTTACAATAGCAAAATAATACATTAGTTTTAGATAAGGGCTTGCTATATAGTGAATAGAATCATATTAAGTGTGGTAATCTAGCAGGTAGAAAGCTTATCGGTCCCTCCACCAGCAGAATGCCCTTGACAGAAGAGTTTAGATGAATTAGAAAGCTTGCTCACATTCTTATTTCTCATCTTACTTACATTAGGGTTACACATGTTTCAGAAGTTTGGAACTATGCAAATGCAGCACCAGTACTTTAAGGAATCTATTCTTTAAAGTTAAACTGACATTTAAAGCAGCAGCTCTTTTTGTTAGGCTCATGCAGAAACATGAAGAAAGTCAGTCTACAGTAATGGATAGCAAAAAGATGCTTGCTTGCAATCTAAATCACTTGTTTCAAATCGCTTTGGAGCAGTCACAGCCCTATTTTCTATGCATCTTGTTTCTTGACGTGATTTGTTTTGGCTAATAGTGATAAAGTGTTATCCCTTGACACCATTTTTTCTTCTTTTCTGTTAGCATTCTTCTATATGGGATTGTTTTCCTGTAAATCACAATTCTGAGTCATAGTCTGTCATTAAAATCCCAAAAGGAATGAATAGTTTGTGGTACCAAAATATTTTGCAGTGCTTTCTCAATAAAATATTTCAAAGGAGTGGAGTTATTCTGAGAAATAAGCCTTTTCTCCTTGTGAATATTATGTTATACTAAAAAACTGTATAACGGAGAACTTCTGTCTTTTAAAAATTGGAATATTGACAAACTCCTGCATGTTTCAAAATTCTGCTTTGAAATGGCCACTAGAAGGTGAAAGCTGACTAGATGGTTAATTTAAAAAAAAAATCATAGCAAACTACTCATTTTATGGTGGATATACTTTAAGGCTGAATAGGTTAATTCATTGTCATAAAAAATGGGGAGAGCCACATGTTTCAGTGCAGTTATATGTTCTCTTCAGAAGATGTTGGCAAAAGTCTTACCCTGAGTTTCTTGATCAGGTGTGCTCTTTTTTAAAAGTGTGTATTGTTTTAAAAGAGTAATACGCATCATGTAATAACTGAACCTCTGACAGAGAAGTTGATTTGGGCAGCGATGAAAGTGTCACACACAGCACAGAATTCTGAAAAAGAATACAAAGGAATTTTATTACATATATTTCACTTACGTTCATGGCTAGTATTACAGAAATTTGCTAAAACTCACATGTCACTATAGTGGCTGTTTTTGGCATTCTTACTGAATTTCCTTTCATTTTGTATCTTACTGTATTGGGTCTAATCTTCACCCGGCTTACTTTTTTGTTCTCTGTTCCTCCCCCTCCCCCCCTTTGATGTTAAACTATTTTCAATCAATTCTGTTGTGCTAAACTGATTAACAAAAATTGTGAGAAATAATTTAACTTAAAGGTTAATAATCATAATTTTTTTTTTTTTTACAGAAAGGAAAAATGGGTAGCTTATCAGATTATGTGACAGACAGAACATTTTCAAAAACTCCTTCATAGCTCCTTTGTTGGGAAAAAATGTAATTAAAATGTTGACAAACAACATATTTATCAACAATCATTGCTGCAAATCAGGTGTAGTTAATTTTTTATCCGACCACCATGTCCAGAAAATCCACAGTTTTTTATATTTTACTAGATTCTAGATATATGGGATATAGTCAAGAAGGACATTAGACATACAGCGATTGATAATACTACTGATGCCAGCCCAAAATATGACACTAATAAGACTAAACCAAACTGTATGAACAGGAGTTCTTTCTAACTCCTAAGATACAGTTCTAATATCAAGGAAACTAATTTCATGTTGGTTAAAAATTGACTTTCTCTCAGTTTATCATGATAGGACATTCCAGTTCATTATTCCAGAGGTGGTATAAATAACTAATATCAGCTTTCCTCAGCTTCTTATAAAAAAGAGTCAACAGCTCAGGAAGCAGTTAATTTTTCAAAAACCTTTAAAGGCTTCAGAAGCATCACTAGCCTCTGCATCAAATAAAACAATGCTCAAGTAATTACTGAAAAAAATACATTGAGGTAAATCACTCCTTTTTTAATTCTGAAAGTTTTAAAAATGGCTTCCTTGGAGTGAAGTAATCATGAGATATCCAGTTTGCCCAAACAGAAAACCCCACCACCAGATTTAGATGCTATTTTTATGTTGGGATTATCCCATAGTATAAGTATTTATGGGCACATGAATCACAATCAGTTCTGCAACCATGCATTTTCCACTACAGTGGGAAAAGTACTCTGTAATTAAAGTAGTCATGAAAAATCTTAATATCCACTTTATCAAGCAAACTGATTCATAATTAGATCGTATAGTGGAATCTTTGCCCAGCGTAAGAATATCTGTCATATTAACTTAATTAAAACTGAAAGGAAAGGATTTATTTGAAAATGTTTCACCCTATAGTTCTAGTAAAATAGGATTAGAAACCCCCCCAGTATACTCTTTAAACCAATCCACTGGAAAGCCATTGGGAGAAGGAGACATCCTCAATTTCATAGATTTAATTGTAGAAACAATTTTTGGAGCAAAAGAAGTAGAGCAAAATTAATAAATTGGTCCTGTGATAAATGTGGTATACCCACTTTAAAAGGGGAAGGATCTCTTGGTTTTTGATAAAGAATTACTGCCATATAGTTAAGAATAAGTTTTTAAAAATGTTGATTAATATATTTGGAATTTATACACATTTCCATTTGTATTCCAAAAAGATTTCACAGTGTTGTTTTGCTTAATTGGCTTTAAGTCAAGAAGCTAATAACTTATCCATTGATTTGATCTATTAATTGCATTTCCATATCTGCATCTAGGTTATGAATTAGCTAGTTTTCAGAAAGTGTGAATTGGGTAAATTTTATGTGAAATTAGTAGTGCTCGTGTTTTGTGGTCAAGTCAGTGCAGTGGGAGGGGGGAAGAATGTCAGATAAAAGAAGCAGAGATAATGAAGATGCTTAGGAAAATATATAGTCCAAAGACTTTAACCTGTATGCTATTGGAGGAAACTGTGTTTCTGTTTAATGGACAGATGTTCATGTAGAAAAACACACAAGTCAATCATTGGAATTACAAAGATCATGGACTGTGAGGACTGTATTCTATTCCCTTAAAATTATTGGTAGCATATTGTGCTAAGATGAGGATATAGTATGAACCAGTGTGTCATGAAGCTGAATAAA